TCCTAAGTGAGAGCAGATAAGCATGAACACAAGCAGCTTAACACATCAATATTCTGTTGTACAAATATATATGTATTCACTGATAAATGGTACAGAGAGAATGAAAGCCATATGGTAATTTCAACTTAGCCAGGAGATTTCCAATAATTATTTACTTAAATATTTAATTGGATGCAGGGAAATTATTAATTGTTCTCTAAGTAATGAGATTCAACATTAATTGCTTCTTAAAATCTGTCTTTGATTTTCCAAGAAAATGTGTTAATTCTTCAGTTAAGACAAAACAATAAAACTTCATATATATATATATATATATACATATATATATTTGTGTGTGTGTGTGTGTATGTATGTATTTTCCATTATACAATGTCATGATTCAAACATTAATGATCTCTTTATTTTTAACTTGATTTTAAAACTGGCAGAGTAAATGACATGTACAAAGAAATAGCGAACTTTACCGAAACTAGAGATCAGGAATATTTTTAGTTGCACTTTAATTATTTCAATAAGGAAATTCTTCCATTAACTTTTAAGGCAAATTGAAATGGTACCTGCATAGTACCTGCTTCTGAAGTTTGTTTAACCTCAGTGAGATGTGGTGCTCCATGACCAGAATATCTCTTCTATTTCTTTACCAGACTGGAGGTTTGTTTGTTTGTTTGCTTGTTTTCCTATTGTTTTCAACAAGCTCCAGCATCCTCGAGAAGATGCAGAGATGACAAAGGGAAGAGAAGGGGCAGTTTTGCCTGCTCTAGCATCTTCACTTCTGCCCTGACTGCATGACACAATGAGACATACTTCAGGCTTTTCCCAGGCTATGATTTAATTATATTTTCATTTAAAAACACAAACAGTTGAGAAATAGCACTGACAACCCCATGGGGCAACCCCAGGCTCTTGGGAAAAGTAAAAGGTTTATGTCTTGGAGCAACTAGCAAGATTTCCAAGCAAGTTTCTGCTCTCCTCCCAGGTGTTGTGATGGCCTGGGTCTCAATAAGGACAGATCTTCAAACACTTCAGCATCAGAGAAATCTGTAAATTGAGTTGTGAGTGTAACTTCATCACAATTTCTCACCAGTGTTTAAGAGAGGCTGAGGAGTTCTGAGAGGTCAGTTTGGAAAATAACCAAAAGAAGAAAACATGAAATCTTGTCAGATTAAGGCCCTATGCCCAACCTCTAAGTAAATTCTTACTGAGATATTCTAACTATATTCTTATCTATGCTAAAAAGCATGTTCAGATGCGAAGGGTAGAACACAACTTACTGTTTGTTTGTTTTGGAAGTATTCATACTTGAAGCCCCAAAAGAACCACCTCTGCTGTTATTTTGTTGCCTTTTCCAGGGGATATGCTCCTATGTATGATATGCCCATTATGAATTTCCACTTGAATGTAGAGCTTTAAGGGCATTCGCCACCTTAAAACTGATCCTAGATGTTTTTGTTTTTTTAAAAATGAAACCACTCTGTGACACTGTGGATGGTTGGGTATGTTGTAATCCTGTCATGCACTTGGGTGCCCAGACTGCAAAGAATCTCTAAATTTTTAAGCAGGCAGGAGAATTACTTTACCTGAATGGAAATCAGGCTGCCTCATTGGCTTTGGATGATGCCACCCAAGTTGGCTGAGAGGAAAAGGCCAATAAGACTCTCCTCTTAACTCAAAATTGCATCTTGACACACCATTTGATTTTGACTTGTATCATACTGTTGTGGTATTTCTATTCCAGAACATAGAATACTGTACTGTTATTAAAAACATGCTAGCAAAATTCAGCAGTTGATGGTAGAGGGGAAGCTGTAAGCAAAGCAGGCTATCAAAGTTCACTCTGAAAGTTAAAATGTGCTATGGAAAATAGGCGTGTTTGAGATGTGATCCTAGGGAGTCAGCTGGGCTGCCAGACAGTATGGGGAGCAAGAAATGCTGGGTAAGTTGATAGAATACAGACTTTGACTGCTACTAAGTGAGTTGATCCAGATGAGTGAAAATTCATTTTGCTGATAAGATGTAACATGTGTGACAACAGTATGGAAAACTTGCAGGAAAAAAAAGCCTTAAAAAATATCTTATAGCATCAGACTACAAACTGATTTTTTATCAAAACCAAGAAGAAGTTGCCTATATTCTCCAGCAGGAGTGTATCTTGTCTGGAAACTGAGAGATCCAAACTCTTCAAGCTGAAAAAGAATCTTTTTGCATTTCTCCTTCAGTAGAAAAGGAAGGCAAAAATATACATGATAGCTATGATGGTGGATAAATGTCACTGTGGAGTGTTTCTGACAGGCTGGAAGTTCACTGATTTTTGAAGGAAGCATTGTTAAATGTCAATCATTTAGATATTCTTTTCTTGACTCCATTAGTTCTAAGGAGCAAGAGTAACTTTCAAAAGTGATAGGCAATGTTATTTTTATGGATTCTGGTCTTGTCCTTCTAGGTCTGATAAAGTGAATCTCTGGTGGTAAGTGTCTCAAAGATTTGTTACTTGTATTTTGTTTACAAAGGAAGATGAGAGCTATTTGAAGCGACTGATACTTCAGTAAGAAAGGGATCCAATAAATTAATTATCATGGCTGCACATTTTTAACCAAATTAAAGAAGTTTTAACCATATACTTGAATTCCATAATGTGACTGTGAGTTATACATTTCCTGCATGCATCCTAGCAGGTTTTTTTTGCTTTTGTTTTTGTTTTGTGTGTGAGTCTGTGTGTGTGTGTGTTTGATTGTTGTTGGTTTGGGGTTGTTGTTTTTTGGTTTTTGGTTTTTGTTTTTCTTTTTTGCAATTTAAGCACTACCTTCTTTGTGTCTATTTTGCATTGTATTTTTTCTTGACTGAAGACAGCTTTTGCAATGAAATATATGTCATGACTGATTCTTTTCTATCCCTTGCTTAATTATGACCTCAAAATATTTCTGAAGAATGGTACTGATTAGAAAAAGCAATGGTTTTAATACAGGTAGGGAGTTGTTGGACACCTATAGTTTGTCCATGTCTACAAAATAGGACCACAGCACTTAAGTTTGAGTAGTTCCATAATAAAGATTCATCATCAACAAAATATCATTTCCCTAAAAACAGATAACTCTCTCATATTTTACTGTTTATTTGCAACTGAGATGATATTCCATGTGTCATTTTAAATGCATCTGGAAGTCTCAAATTTTTTCAGACAAAGCCAAGTTAGAGCACAATGGTATGTCATTAAAAAAATGTTCTCAGTGTACTGCTGAGACAAACCTATTCACTTCTGAATGCTCCTTACAGAGGAGACAGGCAAACCTGAAGTTACGGCAAAACACAACTTTCATGATAAATGTAGAGCTGCAAACCACTGGAACATAGTGCCAAATTCTGGCTTATGTTGCATCATGACAGAACACTATGAGGCAAGATAATATTGCCAAATATTAGCAGCAGTCAATTCCTATGTGAGAAATTAAAAGCTGTGCTGAGATATTGTTCACATCTGTTCAACATTCTCTATATTAATGTAACATTTTGTCTTTCAGATGTAGTATGGCAGTAATTTCTCTCAAAAACTTAGCATTCAACAAAAGAGTTTTGTGTTGTCACAGTTTTATTAGACACAGACAGATTAAACCTAGTATAAAAAACGATCATTTACTTTCACCATTTTGAAACTTTTAAATTTATTTATTTATTTATTTACTTGCTTACTTACTCATTTACTTATTTATTTCTGCTAATAACATTCAAGGCCAGGCTGGATGTGGCTCTGGGCAGCCTGGTCTAGTGGTTGGCAACCCTGCCTATGGCAGGGGGATTGAAACTAGATGATCATTGTGGTCCTTTTCAACCCAGGCCTTTCTATAATTCTGTGATTCTATAATTCCATGACATAATTTAACAATCAAGAAATTAGTGGGAATTGCAGATACTTAAAGCAGTGGGCACAAATATTAGAACTAGGAATTCTTCTTCATTTACATCATCACGGGGGGCAGAAGCAATAACCTCACCTTCCTTCTGAAGGATCACAACAGGGTCATACAATTGGAAGTTAAGATTTGCCTGATCACCTTGGAGAACTAATTAAATAAATAGATTTCTGAGAAAAGTAAACCTGGAGTGGGTCAGATACTGCAGTGAAAACTGAGTGAAAGTGAGTTACATGTGGCACAGTGGTAAAGGAAAAGTAAGTTTTAATTTCTAAGAGATTTGAAATGCTCAGAGATATTACATGGTGGAATATATTTAGAAAGGATGAAATAGTGATTTCAACTGCAGGTTATGTATCCCAAATTGCATTCACCAAATTTTAATTCTGTGAGCTAGTGCTACTACAGCAGTTTAAAAGACAAAGGCTTTGGCATTCCTTCTTAGCATCATTAATATTACTTTCACTATAAGTATCAGATTAGTACTGGTGGAAGTGGGTACTCCTCTGCTTTGCTGATACCAAAATGATTTTAGTTTTGCTTATACCAGAGCTTAATGTGGTTACTGAGATGTTTTCATAAAGTGGAATGCATGGAGCCAGAAAAACTGAGCAAGGATTTCTGAAGTATGGCAACATTGAACTGGGTGCATTGTTGTTCAGAATAGTGTCATCATAGTGAGTGTGTAATAAACATATGTTAACTGAGATAAACTTACTGGCACTTCATGAGAACAGCATATTATGTAATATAAAGCCAATGGAATGATACAATAAAAGATCAAGTTGGATTAAAATACTGACTCTACTACTGAGATTTGTAGCGTTGCCATAGACAAATGCTCAGAATTACTGATTTGAATTTGATTTAATCATGATATCTTTTTTTTTTTTTAATGTTGTATGGGAACTGCTGAGTCATGGCCTGAACCTCTGATTAATCACCTGAGGCAAGCAATGAGTCAGCCCTGGGAGCACAGGTGAAAGCAATTCACCTGTGCTGCAGGAAGGGGTGGAGCCTGGCTCCACCTCTCCTAGACCCATTTAAGAGCTGACTACCAGTAGGGAAGGATCTCTCTCTCTTTCTCTTCAGAAGATCCACTCCACTGGAGTTTCCTGAGCAAGCCCATGACATGGGTAAGCATCCTATTTATTCTCTTTGTCTTGCTGTGCCTAACTCTCTTGCTCATTTCATTATTATAACATCTTAATATTATTAAATTATATAATATTCCTTTATATAATTTTCATTGTTTATACAAATGTGTACTATATTTAAAAACAATGAATTTTTAGAATTGTTCTATTTTTAATTATTTTATCTTTATTAGGAGCAGGTCACATTTTGAAGCTTTTCTGTGCAATTATTGGAGGCTGAAAACTTCATTTTTTAAAAAAGTCAAGATTATTCTATGTTCCTAAGACACTCACAGCAAGGACATCAGGTAAACAATAGAGTAGTATGAAACTTTCTGTAGAATCTTAAAAGCTTGCAACAGTATTTGTGAGAGATATTGTTTTCCATACATATATTAAGCTTGCTTAAGGATGTTAATCTCATGTTTAGGGCTTGTAGTATAGGACCTGTGAGCATGGACATACTTTGTAGAAAAGATGAATACCCTCTGAATACATTTAAGGATAAAATTAGTCTGGGCAATGGAAATCCATGGAATCTTGCTCATGATTTGTGGTTGATTGGATGGTCAAAGCAGTATGTAATACGATATATTGTTATGCCTGGGATTAACTCTATTTTTCTTTTATTTTACTGTCTGTTCAAATTAAATCATTGCAACTTTGCTTTTTTTATGTCACTTGTTCTAGTCAAGCCCAAATAGAGGAAATTCAGTCTAATTGGCATGTATACTGAAAACACATACTGAAAGAAAAGTTAGGCAGTTGATGTTAACATTACTGATTTTACGAGTTCTTCTGCACTGGCCCATGATCAATCCTATGAACTCTTCTGTAAATGACACTGGGTAATGAAATACTTAGAAATTACATTCCAGTAGTTGCTGAAAGAGTGGCTTTTACCCAACTTTTATTTGTCATTTTCAGTAAATTTCCATTTTATTACAGTACCCACAATTCTACTAGGGCTCTAAGTACACTGCAACCACAGTGAAACCCACAGAGGCATGCAGTGAGGTTTTGGGTTGTTTTGTGGTTATTTTTGGTGTGTATATGCAAGTGTGTTGGTTTGGTGCTGTTTATGGTTTTGGGGTCTCTTTTCTTTTTTCTAAATGTATTTGAAAAGCAAGTTGAGTTCATTTTATTCTTTAGTAAACAAATTTCAGTAAAAGAAAAAAATTAGATATCTGTTCATTTAACAAAAACATAATACAGAGGATAGGGAGTGGGGTGAGAAGAGCTTTTAACAATGGAGCAGGACAGTGAAAGTCCAAGAACACTGGATATTTTTGCTACCAACTGTATTAGCCACCAGCACTGATCTTGAGATCTTGAAGACAGTGACTGCATGCCTCACCACCTCTTAGTTACTCAGGGAATGACTGCCAAGAAGAATCTAGCTAAAAGCATTAGAAATGCAAACTTGTCCAATTTCCGTAGGATTCTTTTACTGTAAAATGTTTCAAGCAGTACATGAAATTACCAGAAGTACACTGACTGTGGCAAAATGAAGAAGTCTGCAATGCTAACATTAATGGTTTATAGGAGAAATAATACACTTAAATTGTCAGGATAGCCAGCTCACAATAGTCCATTTGTGTGTACGGGGTTCTGACAGTTTATAGAATGCTGCTCACATTAGTAACAATGATAATATTAAAAACAAACAAACAAAAAACACAACAAAACAAAACCAAAGAAACAAACAGACCAAAAAAAAAAAAACCCAACAAGATGAATTTGGATTTTAAGGTAATTTTTAATGAAAAGAAAAAAGTATTTCTACTTCATCATTTTTATCATCAGAATCTGGGATTTATTAAGATGTTAAATATGTACTAGTTCTTTTATGTTAGTTTATTATTCTCCCTACTATTGGTATTATTCTTCAAAAAAGGGCACCCTAAGGCTGTCCAAAACTTGAAAAATTACAAGTTAGAGGCTGTTTCTCCAATATGAAATAAGGACATGGGTATTGAACATAGGAGATTTAAAAAAAATAATCTTCTAATGCCTTCTAATGTAGTGCATCTCAATTGCATGTGTATTTGTAAAAAGAATGGAAGAACTCTAATTGACACTCACTTGGCCTATTCATTAAGCATAACGTTCTGTCTTTAAGAGCCACACATTAAGAGCCAGACACTGCGGTTTATTTCTTCAAGAGCTGGTCTAGTAATTCTGATTATTTGCTGAGACATTTTGAAAACTATCAGATATATTTATCCAACATTTACTTGGCTGACTCTCAAGTAGAGAATCAAGAAAGGAAATGGAGAGCACCAGTGATTAACTATTCCCAGGAACATTATGAAGCTGACGATCTCTCAAAATCATGTTTAACTGAAGTTCTGATGAACAGCATATTATGTACTATTTTGGAAAATGAGCTGGGTTAACGCATTTTCTGCTGGATTCATTGAATTTGTGAGGAAACATACTGGATCAACTATGCCTTGCTTTGTATTTGGTTGTAAGCAGTCAGACAGCTCCAAAGAAAGGCCTTGAACACCTCCAAGGTGGGGGCATCCACAGCTTCTCTGGGCAACTTGTTCCAGTGCCTCACCATCATTATGGTGAATTTCTTTCTAATGTTCTATATATATCAACATTAGTTGGTTAAAATGTCTTATCAGGGAGAAATTCATGTTTTACTTTCTCTATGATAGAAAATAAAGCTTTAATGAGTACAGTAAATAGTGGTAACAAAATTGCATCTACTGAAAAGCATTAGGAGGAATTATTAATAACTAGAAAAATATGCTACACCTACATCTCCACAAAATTATTTTAATTGCTAACAAAGTCTCCAACATAATCTTCAACATAGTCAAAGTGAGATGAAAGTGATACAAAACAATGATGTTGTGGAAGTTACAATGAAATACACATCCACTTGCTAAAATTGCTAACTGGCCAAGCCATACTATGGTACCACCACTGTAAGAATCTGAAATAAAAAGGGAGGATCAAGAAGTTTGAGATTGTCTTCATCAAAATGCTATGCGTCATTTATGATATCAGACCTACTTATAAAAGCTGATAGGTTAGATGATACCTTGCCATTAATGTTATGTGAAATTTCAGTACGGATGGATTCCTAGTTGTAATATGAAATTATTATTGGAAGCTAAAATCTTAAAACAGAAAAGCCACCAAATTTGAACTCTATGCTGCTATTCAGCAAAGAGAAGGCGAAGGTAGTGATATTTCATCACTGAGCTCTTAGTATGGAAATGATTACATTTAACAAAATAATCACCATTATTGGTTTTATTCTTCTGCAAAATTCCGACTGCTGTTGAGAGGTACGCAGGAGCCAAAATAGTAGCATTTCAGCAGGCCACTGCTGTAATGATAAGCTGTTTAGGAGATTATAGGTATGTGCATATTGTGGACAGGAGAACAACCACAGTATCAAAGAGCATGATATATAACAGAGAATATAGATATGATATTGACATATTGATATTAGATATGATATTGACATGTAGAGAACAAAAACATTTTAAGCAAAAACAGCTCATGACATATGGAAAGACCAGAAAAACTAGTTATAAGGGATGAAAGAGACACAGCGCACTCAATTTTGTGACATTTCTGTTGCTCTTTTAGTTAAAACTTGCAAACAAACAAACAAAAAAACCAAACAAAAAAGCAACCAAGCCAAAGTAACTACTACAAATGCTATCTGTGGAAACTATTGTATTTTGGAGTGGATTTAAATCATATAAAACATAAAAAGTCTCTTTTTTGATGTGGGAAAACAAGAGTTTTGGTATTTTTCTACTGCAGGATCTTCATGAAGAATCAAAATGCTCTGTGCTTGTCTGGTTTCGACTTTTGCTAACATATTCTCTTTTTCCAGCACCCTTTTAAGCCTATCTGGAGCTTGAATGCGTATTTTGGCCGGGGCTTTCTGAAGTAAAACTGTATCTGTTTGCATCTGGGATTTAACCAGGAAGTGCTTGAACTACCAAGCTGTAGGCTGATAGCAAGAGATTTGCAGACCTAAAAAATTCAGATAAGCCCATACAAGCTTTGAACCTCTAAACCTTTTGAAGTTTGTCTCTCACAAAGTCTAACTTCACTGCTGTCAGCAGACAACTCTGAAACATGAATGGAAACAGATCTCTGTTCTGGAAAGCTACTGTGGGTGGCTTAAGGACAAATGAATAAATACAACTATATATGGGAATACAGCACTCTTCAGAGAAGAACTCTGTCCCTGAACACTTGAGTATTTCCCCCCATCTGCAACAACAAAAAAAGCTCATAAAATGAGCAGATTTCTTACTCACCCCTGTATTTTCAGTGTGGGTGATCTGAAGCAATGATGTGTTCTTTAAACATTTGTATTTCTATTTAGTCAGACAAGCTGTTTTTGTTTACCATTTTCCCCATTAAACTAGTCAAGGGTGTATATTTGAGGAAAAATCCAGTAGGCAGAAACTGTTGTAATAGAAGGAAGAATGGGTAGCCCACAAACATTGACAGGGATTCAGTGTGCAGCAGAGCAAGTACACAGCCAATTTTTCTTAAGTCTGTCAGCTTTGTCTGCTAGGCATAATGTCTTAATATCATGAGTTCTGCTGTTCAGAGTTGGACTGTTAAGAATGACAAATAGCAGCTACTTCAGGAAAGTATATGTTGTATAGACTTTGCCATCTTTATAACTCCTATAGATTTCCTTCACAAATTGTGTGTTCAGAAGCTTATTTCTGGGAGATATAATCCTAGGAGAAAAAATACGGCATTCTATTCTGAAGAAGTCTGAAGATGTCTACAATTACACATAATCTATAATGATTTATTTCCCGAAAAATATGGTGTTTTTTTAAGCTATTTGCTAAAAAACTTGTTTGTAGCACGCTGTGCTACAATTTTTCACTGATCATTCATTATCTGTCTTCTCCATAAATTTCAGTGTCTTTGTTACCCCAACAATGAAGAAAAGTTTTCAAGTACAGCTAAATATCATCCAACACCTGAGAGGAGGTCATTGAGGAGAGAAAGTCAAGCTCATCACAGTGAAAAGCCAAGAGATTATGGACATGTGTTGAAACAAGAAATTGTCAAATGGGATGTGAGGAAAAGCTTTTTCACCATAAGGACAGTAGAACAGAGGAAGAGGCTGCCCAGTAAGGATGTAAGTTTTCCATCTTTGAAAGTTTTTCAAAAGCCATCTGGATTATAAACCCCAGAGTTCACCTAATTTGAATAGAAGGTTGGAAGAGAGACTTTCTGAGGTCTCTTCTGAACTGAATTTTCTTATGATCATCTACTATACTATACCATATCCCCTGTTAATTTTCTCTTTTCCAGAGAGATAAGTCCGTCCTTACACATAGTGATTGTATACCTTTGATCATTTTAGTTGCATTTCCATGTTTTACTGTGCCCTTTCTGATACAGGGCAATAAGATGCACATAGTTTCCAAGAGAGCATGCACTGCAAATTAATGCTATGTTTAGCGATATTAACTGCTTTGTTCCTTAGTCCTTCAGCAGTAATTTTGCCTGGTAGATGGCACTTCACTTTGAATTTGATATTTTCATAGGATATATACAATAATACAAAAGCTGTCTGCAGGTGAAGACCTGTCAAGTAGTTTCAGTAGATTTAGACCCCACCATTCTGTAATTGTGATTAAATTTGGATTTGCCTGTATGTATTTCTTTGTGTATATTGACTCCATTTCTCATCTATCCAATATTATCCTACAGTACTTTCAGTCCGTATAGTTTTGAACTAATCTGAATATTTCTGTATCATCAGAAAGCTTCTTTACAGAGTGAAAAATAAAAGAAATGATATATTTTAGTTTCATGTTATACTGTTACCTGTTTTAAAGGCACCTTAAAATTTCCTAGGAAGTAAATTCACTGAAAAGAATGTAGATCAACAGGAATGAACACTTTTTTTTTTTTAACAAATGCCTATGCTTCTCACCTTTTAAATACTTAATTGTTAAGGCTTTAGATCTAACTTTCCACATCTCAGGCCAATTTCTTTTTATTTTATTTGAACATGGGTTCCATTTCTACAGGATGGCTCTTGTGGTAGCCTTTTTCACTCTGACTTTTAACCATGATGTTGCTATATTATTTCTTCCAAGGTCATTTGAATTGATAGAGTATGTCTATTTACAGCGTCTACTGTAATATCTCTCCATACTTTTTGGTTGCTCCTAATCATTCTCATTAATAAAGTTTCCAGAGTAATTTAGTGATTACATATATCTCAGGATGAACTCAAGAATTGCTGCTTCTTTTATGTATTCATTTATTTTTTATGTATTTGTTGATTTGAAATCATCTATGGCATAGGAACCCATGACACAGACTGAAATCTTTTGGTTTTCAAAGTCTTTCCAGTGCAGTAGCTGTACAGCTAGTTGCATAAACTTCTTATTGAAACTGTGATGGCTATTGAAGAGGAAGGTTGAAAGATTTAAGCTCCTGGGAAAATCTGGTTGCTTTTCAAAAGGAGGGTTCAACCATGTTTAGACTGTGTGCATTTTGATCTCTCAGTGGTTCCTGATGTCCTATTAAATTGACATTTTTGCATTAAAGGCTTATGTTTAAGACTAGTGGCATAATGAAGCAAACAATATGTAAACACTATATTACTTGGGTTTTCTTTTTTTTTTCTGACTGAAGATCTGAAACCATTTAGTTGTTTTTGGAACCCAAAATGTTGACACTAGAATATAGGACCCAGAGTTACAAGGAGTCAAGAGGAAAAACAACAGGAAAAACAAAAATTATTTTTGAAATTTCATGTACAGAAATTACAGCTTTGCTCAGGAATTTTCCAGTGTTTTCAGCTACATTTTTAACAATGTGTTTGTATTCTGACTGTGGAAACACAGTGCCATTACTGAGTATGCAGGTAAATGTATGCTAGTGGAAGAGCTGCAAGGGTGAGAAGGCATGTGTATGTTATATTGCTAAAGTGTAAGAAGTAAGTACCACATTGTCCTGGACTGTAAAAAAAAAAAAATAACCAGATGAAAAAATGAAAAAAATGACTGTAGTGAAATGGGTCTGAATATCTTTCCTTCCAAACCACAAGAATAAAAATTGGCCTACCAAGGAAAGTTTATTCAAGATGAATGAATCTTGCAAAACGATGTGAATTTTGCCAGATCAGAGTCTGCGAAGCCACCCAGTGCTGTGGTAGCCTGCATCTATGGACTACGCATTACATATTTATATAGGTTTCATGGAGACCATACTGAAAAGAAATAAGCCAATAAGAGAACAGTGAAAGGAGAATGTCATCTGGTTTCTATTAATGACTGAGGTCACTTTTGCGCTGAACTCTATAGCAGTTAAGCCAAGTAAAGAAACCCAAGACTTTCAGGTTATGATGCACTGTTACCAAAACCTGACTAGAGCAGTAAGTGAAATTTGTACTTAGATTCAGGTTTGTCAAATTGTTGGCTAAACTGAAAGCTAAGCCAGAGCCTGAGAGACACTTTTTTACTTCTTTAAATGATGTATGATAAAGGTCAATTTGCGTAACAACCAGTTTTAATCCTCCTGAGCTGGAATGGAGGTAGTTGGGGTATTGATTGAAGGGGTCAGAAAGGTATGAATACCACTGCAGATGGCAGTAGGTGAAAAATAACACACACACACACACACACACACACACACACACACACACACACACACAAAATAGAAAGTGGAAAAACTTTTGAGAGAAGAAATGGTGAAAATGCTAGGAATAGATAATGCATATGTTTTTGTGAAAGGAAGACAGACACACCTGTATGTTATTAGCTGTTCCTGAAAGAGAGATCAGTCTCTTTCTTGTACCTCTTAAAAATTAACTTATCATTAATAACAAATTGAGAGGTAGAGATGCAAGGTTATCGTGAGACAACCTTTGCACATCTGGTTACCATAGGTCTTTAGGGAATACCACTCAGCCAAGTGTGCTGGCACTGATGCTAGAAAGACTGATAACTACACTCTGTACATTTATATCCATGATTTTCTGCTTGGATCAATCTTGTACACACTGTACACTTCTGAACTATTCATTTACTGCCCGTGTTGTCTAAAGACAGTATGTGTGTCAGCAGTCTAAAATATCATTGATTCTAATTGCTATAAACCGCCCTGGAAGCACGCTTTTGATGTATATTATTTCACTTGGCTAATGTGTACAGATGTACTGCCAGTTAGACATTTTAGTGGGTTGTGTTGGTTGGTTTTTTTTTTTAGCTTTGACACTTTTTATCTATCTATAGCAGGGTAAGCTTTGCTGCTCTTTTAATTTTTGTGTCTTTAGCTTTTCTGAATTTAATGAGTTTAAACAGGTGATTTTGTTGGCAGACTTTGGCATTGTTAATGTGAACATTTTGATTGAGACTAGTCTTTTATAACTAAGTATGTCTGACAAATACTCTTCTCCTCAGTGATCTTTTGGGAAGTCAAGAAATTGATTCATTTGCTACATTGAACATCTAAGCCTAGCTCTCCTCACTTGGAAGTGAATGGTATATGGTATAACTTTTTTTTTTTGTGGGAGCAGACACAAAAAAGCTTACTTTATACAGAAGAACACAGACAATTGAAACCAGAAGTCTTGGTTGCTAATGTTCCCATATTCTTCATAGCAGATAATGTTCTAATTACAGGACAACTAAGAAATATCTGAGTGAATTTCAATACTGTTGCAATATGAAGGACAGTAGGTTAGAAAACTAATTCATTATCTTCAGTGTACTCAATATTTTATAATAGGTCTACTTATGGATACTTGACCTTATGAACACAGTAAACAACAGAGTAGAATTAATGTAGGAGGTAAGTATGGCAGAAAGGAGATGAATCCTGCATGCTATTGTTGCATAAAGTAACTGTGTAATGCTAGACATATTTCATAGAATCATAGAATTATTTGAGTTGGAATAGAACTTTAAAGACCGTCTAGTCCAAATCCCATGCAATGAACAGAGACACCTACCCTCAGATCAGGTTGCTCAGAGCCCTGTCCAGCCTGACCTTGAATGTCTCCAGGGATGGGGCATCCACCACTGCTCTGGGCAACCTGTCCCAGTGCTTCACCACCCATATTGTAAAAAACTTTTTTCTAATATCCAATCTAAATCTCCCCTCTATTAGTTTGAAACCCTTCCCCCTAGTTCTATCACCACAGACCCTGCTAAAGAGTCTGTCCCCTTCTTTCTTGTAGCCCCTTTTGGATCCTGAAAGGCTGCTCTCAAGTCTCTCCAGAGCCTTCTCTTCTAGAGACTGAACAGCCTCAGCTCCTTCAGCCTATATTCCAAGGGGAGACATTTCACACATTTCCCTTTTCTGTGTCTCCATGCTATAAAGAAGTACTTGTAGACACTCAGTATCTGTCACCAAACCCTTGTCCTAAATGTATTTATAAACACTTTCTGAAAAGCTCAAGCAGAGCTCTTCTATAGTGTATATGGACTATCCATTTCTTTTTTGTTAAGTAGAACTCTGACCTGGCTCTAATTTGCTGTTCACAGTTCTCTTCATGAGGCATGAAAGGCGGGCTGCCCCCAGGTATGTACCTCAGCCGACAGCAGCTGCTGCTAAACATGGGCACCCAGCTCTGCTGCCTTCCACCCTTCCTCTTCAGCATGATGAATGCAGAACTGATGTCTGAACAATGGCTTATCTTCAAAGTGGGGATGGTTGCCCTCCCACATTGTCCCCTGTATTGTTTATAGCTGATTGTTTATAGTCCTGTGGTTAAAGCGTTTCCTGGGAGATGTGGTTTTGCTTGTCTGCAAGACAGGAGCATATTGCACTTCAGCTTCCTAATTGCCACTCATCTATTGTGCAAAAAAGGGAGGAAGAGAATAAATCCCAATGGACACATATAGAAAGGCAGCCACGTCTACAGAGGCCCTGAGAGTGTCTCCTGTGCAGCTTTCAGAGGACTGAGACTGAAATACTGCTGAGAAGGATTTCTGCTTCTGAGAGCTCTCTTGGGGTGCTGTTGTGGTGCCTCCTCTGGACTTCTCAGGCACTTAAGGTCACAGTACAACCTCCCCGGAGTTGAGGCAGATGAGGTAACACTAGGTTAGATGAGTTCAAGATGCAGTTTTGACCCTTGGTATTCAGTTCCTGGTACTTCAAATGTTTGTGATTTTTGCATTTAGGCCCCTGTTCTAATTGCCATCTGAAGCAAGGAAGTATTGGAAAGGGAAGTGCTGGAAAATACTGAAAATGTTGGGAAATGTTGGGAAGGGAAGTGAATGCACGTTAATACCTGAAGGTGTGTGGGTCAGTCTCTTGCTGAATTTAGGACTCTTTTGGATGTCTCAACTTCTTTGCATTGTTCTTGTGTACTCCTAAGATTCTACTAGTGCAGGTTCAGTAATGCAAAGAGGGAAAGGTTTGAGGCATCATGCTGCCTTGGTGTTGCAACAAGCCATTTTTACCCCTCCTGAAAAGCAATGTATAGTATCAGTTTGAGGAGCATGCCAGCTTTACATTCCACCCCTTTTGGTGAAGTTGGGAATTGCTGGTCTAAAACTTTGTTCATCATCCAATTTGTGGAAATGCAGAGAAGACAAACTTCACACAGATGCAGGCTTTCCAGACTTTCCTTATTATAATACAGGATTTCCTGTACTGTCCATTCAAACACTATGTCCTTTATAAAAAGAACACAGGAGATAATTTTTTCCATATTTTTTTGTTTGGTTTCTATCTGTTCTTCCCAGGCTGCGGCCTTGCGAACATAAGTGTTTCGAGTGCAGGACAGAGGGCTCCAACATTCCTCTTTCAAAATTTAATATTTTTAAATGTTGCATCGCTATGCATCCACCTAAAAAGATTTTACCCCTGTAAGTTCCAAGTGAACTTCAGTAACTGACCACAGAAGAAAAAAAAAAGAGGACTTCTGTAAATCAGTGACTTTCCATGGACATTACATGAGTTAATATTTTCATATTCCTGCCTTATTCATTCTTGTTTTTACTTTTCTTTTTAACTCTCCTGTAATATAAATGCTTTTCTGAGGGGCAGAAAGTCCCGGGTTCATTCCTGCTCTGTGATGTTGCATTGAAGTAGGACCTGAGTGGTTCTTTTTCTCTACTGGCATCCATATTCTTTGGTCCAAAGAGGTACATGCCATGAACTCGAGGTCCATGACATTTTAGTGCTTATCATTTCTGGCTTCCTCAACAAGCTATGAAAATTTAGTGTATTA